TGTTTCTCTGTGTGTCTGTGTGTCTGTCTGTCTATCTGTGTGTGTGTGTGTCGTGTGTGTGTGTGTGTGTGTGTGTGTGTGTGTGTGTGTGTATGTGTATTACTGGAGATAGAACCTAGAGCCTTGCACCTTCTAAGCAAGTGCTCTAGGGATGAGCTGTCCCCAGGTCCCCCACCCCCACCCCTTCCCCGCCTTCTGTTTTAACAGAGTAGCCGGGTTGGTCTTGAACTCCTGGGCTCAAGTGATTCCCCTGCCTCAGCCTCCAGAAAAGCTGAGACTGTTGGCACAGACCACAGTTGCCCAATTCACACAACCTGTTGATTCAGCCAGGTGCCTGCTGTTCAGATGGGCAGGTTTGCAGCAGACACTGTGCCCAGCAGAGGGAGCCAACACCAACGAGATTCTGTGGCCTGATTGCTCGCCAGCCGTGGGAAGCCTCTATTCTGATTTGAGCAGACAACACGCTCCTCCAGCAGCTCTGTGGTGCAAGATGATGCTCCCAGACAAGGGATGTCTTCCTCTAGTCGGGCCCAAAAACTGTGTGAAGTGGCTACAGTGATGACCACCTTCATTCTGGGGGAGGTCAAGAAGCTTTCTTGATGTCCCCCAGCAAAAGTGGGGTGGGGTGTGGTCCTTCCAAGCAGGACCTCTAAAGCTTAGTGGACATCTAGAAAAACTTGTGGTGTCGACTGTATTGGTGATCCATTGGAGAAGGAGAAGAGGCACACCCCAGCCCATGAGAGGGAGGGCAGAGGAGAGTGGCCGTGAAGGAGACGGGCACTTGGGCATCTCTGATGAGGCCAGGTGTCAGAATCAAGCTTATTCTTCTCCTGACAGCAAAGTCTCCAATGAGCGATAGCACAGTGGCCAGAGAGCTTGAATTGGTTCATACAAATTATCTCTTTGGGCAAGTGGATCTCTGGGTGTTCAAAGTGAGCCTGGTCTACAATGTGAGTTCCAGTGAGACCCCGTCTCAAAAAAAAAAAAAGAAAAAGAAAAAGAAAAAAGAAAGGAAGGAAGGAAGAAAAGATCTGTTTGTGGCCTTAACTGTGTTTGAATGTAAGAGTTTTTGAACAGTAGGTCCACAACACTTAAAAGAGAGACCAGCACATAGTAGGTCTCGGCAAACATTTGTCAACTGGGTAGATATTCCTGATCTCCTGCCAAAGAAAATTCGATGTTACTTACTTGGCAAATATATCAAAGCGGATGCTGGCCAGCTCTCCCATTATACCTCAGTACCTGTGGCTGCTCCAGCACTCCTCACCCCGCCCCTACCCTAAACCTCTCCCCCAGGGGCGGGGCTTCCACTTCCCTTCCCCCAACCCTGATCCCTCTGTAACTCAGCCATTTTGACTACAGCCGTCTCTTGGTCAGCGGTTCCTCTCTCCTCTCCCTCACCCTCTCGCCTCTCTTGGTTTAGTCTGCCAGCCACGTTCAGCCCAGACTCTCCCCTCTGCCTGCTTCTCCCTTATCTCTACAATAAAAATCTTGGCCATACTTTAGGAGTAGTCGTGTCCTCATCTTTTTTTTCCCCATTTTTTCATTCACCACGTGGCCCCTGGACAGTGGGACACTAGAGAATTTTAGTGAAAGTCCATGCGACCCCACCGCCTGCCCCCATAGTGGTTAGAACCTCTGTCCCCACTGACCTGGAGCATCTGTTGGGGTGGCGTCACTGTGCCCAGTTACCTGGGCTTCCTTCCCTGGCCCAATCGATCCCATCCACTCTGGCTTCCTCCACCAGGTCCACCCCCCACCCTCAACTAGATCTCTTGATCATTCACTCCCCCAGGAGATGGAGCTTCCGTTTTTAGTATTGATGTCTTTATTTAGTCTCACTAAATGCAAGCCCGGAAGCAATAAAAACTGCCTGGCTCGCAGCAGCACCTTTAACAACTTAACCAAGATATAATTTACAGGCCAGAAAATTCACCCATGCTCAGTACACAAGCCAATTTTTAAAAGTGAATTCCCAGGAATGTACCCCAGAAAGATCCCTTACGCTCATTCACAGTGGATCTCTAGTTCTCTTCCCGTCTCTCATCATTGGCTCCCAATCATTAGTCGACTTTCTGTTTTAAAATATTTGCCTATTCTGGACATTTCCTGCAAATGAAATCATGTGAAATAGGGCCTGCTATGTCTGGCTTGCTTTACTTAGCATGTGTTTTGGGGTTCATCCATGTGGTGTGTCACGCTGTTATCGGGATGCCTCACATCCTGATGTCTATCCGTTGAGGAGTCATGGCCTATTTCCACTGTGAGCCACGGTCGCTAGGCCCATGATGAAGATGATCTATGAGCCAGTGTTTGTGAACACGCATGTGTTCATGTCTCTCCAGCAAATATTCAGAGTAGAATTATCGGTACTGTGTAAATGCATGTTTAAGTTTTTAGAGAAACCATCAAATTGCTTTCCAAAGTGGCTACCCCCTGGTGCAGTCTCTGGTGTCTCTCTGTCTTTGCTGGCACTTGTTCCTGTCTGGTGTTGGCTATAGCCATTCTGGCGGGTGGGTGTCGGTTTCATGTTCTGCTCCATAAACATTTGAGTGAAGAGGTCTGCTGTCTCTGAGGATGAACGGAGCTGGGTGTGAAACATGTCTCCTGCTCCCCGACTGTGGCCACGATGCCTAACAAGGAGGGGGACCTGGAGAGTCACCTCCCTGTCATGAACTGACGTGGTGCCTGAGGACCTGTTGTGGGTTATGCTCCTACTGAAAGATAACTGCAATCCTCACTGTCTCCACCTCCACCATCACATTAACCATCGTCACCGCAGATCCCTGCCTGCACCACAAGGACCATGGCAGGGACAGACTCTGTTCTATGTGCTTAGTATGTTATGTTTTGTTTGAGACAGGGCTTCATTTAGCCCAGGTTGGCCTCAAACTGTTTGTAGCCAGGACCTGATGATGACCTTGAACTCCTGATCCTCCTGATTCTTCCTCAAACTGTTGGGATTACAGGCATGCACCACCACACCTGCTTTATGTGCTGGGGCTCGAACTCAGGGCTTCATGCATGATACGCAAATGCTCTACCAACCGAGCCACAGCCCAGTCTATTTGCTCCCACCACTGAGCTCCATAACTGAGCCAATGTGTGCGTTTTAATCTGTGAAATTGTATTGTTACCTGTTTTATGGAATGGGGGCCACAGACTTGTACTCATTTGTCCCAGGTCACAGAGTCAGCAAGAAACAGAGCCTGCTGCAGAGCCCAGCCCTCGGTCTGTGCATCCCATCTCCCACTCTGATGAGCATAGATGTGCATGTTCTAAAGAAGCATACCGAATCCAAGTGGAGGAGATGATGTCAAAGTGGGGGGAAGGAAGGTCCCAGCCGAGACCGTATGTTCAGCAACACACGCAGCCCTGGGATTTGTTCTTTTTTTTGCATATGGACACAGCCCAGATAGCAGAGCTCAAAGCATCTTTTGTGCAGTTCTGCAGCGAGTGACGTCACAGGCACCACCAAGTCTTTATCATTTCAGCTGGACAACTAGCTCACCGCCCTAGTGTGGGAAGAGCCAGCGTGGTGCTAGGCAGCTGAGCGCCGATTTTCCAGTAAGCTGGTGAGTGTGGGGCTGGGGTTACACATGGAGGGAGACACCTTGGCGGTGTCTGCACTGGGTGAGGGGCAGGAAAGGCAGCAAGGCAGGAAGGCTGACCCTGCAGGGCAGAGTATGGGGGATGCCGTGGTGGGAGTAAACAGTGAGGGCAACCCTCCTGCCTGATGGGTCAGAGTCTCCTGGTGGGGGACAGAGGACTCCTCCACTCCCCACGCTACCTCCCTCTTCACCTCTGTCTCACTAGCATCTGTGGCCATGGAGATGAGCGTCTCTGTCGGCCATCACTGGCTCTTCTTTTCCGTGTACCTGGTGGTCTTCCTCGTGGGACTGCCCCTCAACGTGCTGGCCCTGGTGGTCTTCGTGGGCAAGCTGCGTCGCCGCCCGGTGGCCGTGGACTTACTTTTGCTCAACCTGACCCTGTCGGACCTGCTGCTGCTGCTGTTCCTGCCGTTTCGCATGGTGGAGGCAGCCAGTGGCATGAGGTGGCTCCTGCCCTATATCTTATGCCCCCTCTCGGGGTTTCTCTTCTTCACCACCATCTATCTCACCTCCCTCTTCCTGATGGCTGTGAGCGTCGAACGTTTTCTGAGCGTGGCCTACCCACTGTGGTACAAGACTCGGCCACGACTGGGGCAGGCTGGTCTGGTCAGTGGCATCTGCTGGTTCCTGGCATCAGGTCACTGTAGTGTGGTTTATGTCATTCAGTACTGGGGAAACACCACCCACAGCCAGGGGATCGATACAACCTGCTACCTGAAATTCCGGGAGGACCAGCTGGCTGTGCTCCTGCCTGTGAGGCTAGAGATGGCTGTGGTCCTCTTTATGGTGCCCCTTTGCATCACGAGTTACTGCTACAGCCGGCTTGTGTGGATTCTCAGCCGGGGAGCCAGCCGGCGCCGGCGCAAGAGGGTGATGGGGCTTCTGGCAGCCACACTGCTCATCTTCTTCGTCTGCTTCGGCCCCTACAATATGTCCCACGTGGTGGGCTATGTCCGGGGTGAGAGTCCAACCTGGCGGAGCTACGTGCTCCTCCTCAGCACGCTCAACTCTTGCATCGACCCCCTTGTCTTCTACTTCTCATCCTCCAAGTTCCAAGCCGACTTTCAGCAGCTCCTGGGGAGGCTGACCAGAGGCTGTGTGCCGTGGACTCAGGAAGTCAGCTTGGAACTGAAGGAAAAGAACAGAGAAGAGCCGTCCAAGGAGTGTCCAAGCTAGCGTAAAGGATGGACCGGAGGAGGGGTATGGAAGCATTGACCCAGTGCTGGCCCCGAGATCTCCGGGGATCAGGAAGGAGTAGGGCATTCATTCCCTAGCTCAGGAGAGACGCGACTCCTGGGACAGGCTGGAGACACAGCTGTCACTCGGCTCTCCCTGGACCTGCTCACATTCCCAACTCTCCATGGTGCCCTCCTTCCCACCCTCTCACTCTGGGACTTTGTAATGGCGAGAGACTTCTCTGGAAGAGTGAGCCCAGCCTCTGCAGCGGCCAAGTGTTTCAGTGCCTTCATGGGGGGCCGCCCAGGGCTGGAGCTGAGCTGGGGACCTGGGATGGGGGAAGGGTACAAGCCACTGACTCTTGGCTCTTCAGAGTGGGAGAGACAGGGTTCCAGGGGTGAGGGAACAATCTGCCCTGGTGAGGGTTTTCCAGGGAGTTCCCACTGCTCCATAAATTCAGATCCTCTGGGATACTTATGAACAATGGCAGGCAAAGAGAAAAATTATCCAAATAAATTCCGTACCTGGCAAAAGTAAATGATGTTTCCACATCTTCCTGGCTGGGGTGGTGTAGGTGGTGGGTGGAAGAACAGTCACACTGAGGGAGTGGGGCTGGACAAAAACGCCCAGGTGCCTGCAGAGGATCAGGGTTGGAGGAATAAAACTAATCACGATTTTATCCTTAAGATGTATGTATGTATGTATGTATGTATGTATGTATGTATGTATGTATGTATGTGTTTATTCACATTCAGTTGGCAGAGTGCTTACCCGGCAGGCACAAGCCCTGCTTCCCGTCCCTGGCACCACATAAACCAGATACAGTTGTGTCCATCTGTCCTCAGCAGTAGGGGAGAGGCGGCAGGAAGACCAGAAATTGAGGATCATCCTCAGCTACCAGCCTGGGTACAAGAAACCCTGTCTCAATCAAATCAAATCAAATCAAATCAAATCAATCAAGAAGCTGAGGAACTTGAATGAAAGCCTGACTTGAATGTGGTGGATTCCGGGAGGACGTGAAAGCTGGCATCGCAGGGCTTGCACAGGAATAGGAGAGCTGTTTTCTGTGGACAGAACTCAGGCTTGTTTGGGACATTCCTAGAAAGTTTCGGGTTTACATCTGAGAGAGGAGCTGGGCCACGTGACTCAGGTCTTAAGTACGGGCTCACTGCTGTTTTGACATTTAAAAAAATTATTATTATTGCATTCAAGTGTTTTGTCTGCATGTATGTCTGTGTACCGTGTGCGTCTGGTACTCTCTGAGGTTGGTAGAAGGCATTGGATCCACTGGAACTGGAGTTACAGATGGCTGTGAGCCGCCAGGTGGGTGCTGGAAACCAAACCCAAGTCCTCTACAAGAGCAACCAGTGCTCTTAACCACTAAGCTCTCCAGCCCTTGTTTCGTTTTTGAGACAGCATCTCACTATGTAGCCCTGGCTGGCCTAAAACTCACTATGCAGACTGGGCTGGCCCTCACATCCCAAAGATCCGCCTGCCTCTGCGTCCTGCACCAGCACACACCACACCCAAGACTCACTATTGTGTTCGTTTGTTCGTTTGTTTTTTTGAGACATGGTTTCTTTGTGCAGCCCTGCCTGTCCTGGAACTCACTCTGTAGACCAGGCCGGCCTCGAACTCAGAGATCCGCCTGCCTCTGCCTCCCAAGTGCTGGGATCAAAGGTGTGCGCCACCACCGCCTGGTCACTTTTGTTTTGTTTTTCTAAGACAGAATCTCTCTTTGCAGTCCAGGCTGGCCTCAAACTCTCCACCTTACTTAAACCAGGCCCCTGCCTACTGGGACAGCAGTCATGAGCCACTGCTCACGGCAATCTTAAACAACAACAAAGAAATCCCAGTCTGGTTGGGATCTCGCTGTGGAAACAAGACAGGGTCAAACAGGCCAGGCGAGTGCCATGAGCAGCGGGCGTTCTGTGGAAACAAGCTCACTTCTCTGCCCAGGCACCTTGGCGGAGAGTGAGCCGCACAGGGGGCCTGGAGCAATGGAGATGTGAGCTCTCCAGTGCCCAACTGAGGGCTGACAAGCTCCAGAGGACAGGGCTCTGCTGCTTCCATTCCCAGACGCCTCTGCTCTCTCGGGTGTTTGCTGGGGAGTCTGCTTAGACCCTACACTCATCTTTCCCACACCTGACAGCGGTTCTCGACCTTCCTAACGCTGCAGCCCTTTAATACAGCTCCTCATGTTGTGGGGACGCCCAACCATAACATTATTTCATTGCTACTACAGAACTGTAATTTTTCTACTGTTAAGAATTGCGCCGGGCGGTGGTGGCACACGCCTTTAATCCCAGCACTCGGGAGGCAGAGGCAGGAGGATCTCTGTGAGTTCGAGGCCAGCCTGGTCTCCAAAGCGAGTTCCAGGAAAGGCGCAAAGCAACACAGAGAAACCTTGTCTCGAAAATCCAAAAAAAAAAAAAAAAAGAATTGCAATGTAAATATTTGATTTGCAGAATATCTGATATGGGACCCCCATGAAAGGGTCGTTCAATGCCCCCATCCCCACCCCCACCCCCCGCCCCCAGGATCATGATCATCATGTTGAGAACCACTGTCTGAGAAGGTCTCCTGGAAGAAGTCTTTATCAAAACAATTCCCTGCAGAGGGCAGAGGTGCATGCCTGTCAGGATCCTAAATTTAAGGCTAGCCTGGGCCACAGAGCAAGATCCTATTTCCAAATAAAATTACAAGAGCTAGGAATGTTGTCTCGCCCTGGGTTGCTTGCCCAGCAAATGTAAGACTCTAAATGTGGTCCTCAGCACAGCAAAATCAGCAAATAAAATAACTCTTGCTTATTCTTTGAAAAATAACCAGAGCACAGCTGTCCTGCCCGCACTGTGCTGTAAGACACCCCACTCCCGGTGGCCTGCTCTCTGAGTTCTCTGAGGAGGACTCCACGTACCTTGTTTCAACTAACTAACCTTTGCTTTACAGGGTATACACTGACAGAAAGCAGGTCAGTGGCTGCTATGGGCTGGAAACTGCTAAAACGGACATATAGGCCCCTGGGGCATTATAGAGTGATGAGGAATTCTACAACCTGAGTGGAGCTGGAATGTCAAGTCATGAGGCAAAACCATGACCTTAAGTGGATAAATATTCTTGTATGTAAGTTCAGCCTCAGTAAGCTTGTGTGTGTATGTGTGCATTCACGCATGTGTGCATGTAGGGAGAGTGTGGGGGAGGTGCATTTGTGTGTACTTGTTTGTGTGCACTCACACCTATGCACACGGAAGGGAGAAGTTGACAATCTGGTATCTTCCTGCCTAAAGATCTGAGTTCGATTCCTGGAACCCACATGGTGGAAGGAGAGAACTAAACTCCTCTGTCCTCCACACACACACACAGACACTCCCCCCCCC